ATTTAATCTGTTTCGATGCTAAAGACAGAGAAGATTGTTGTAAGCAAGAGATGTCCGAGATAAACATGAATTGGAAAGGGACATAGTGAGCGAGAGCGAGAGGCATATGATGCATTAATATTTCCATCTGATTATTAAGCTTAATATACATAAGTATATAGAAATTAAATGGAATATCGGGTTTCTTTCTAATTGACAAGATCGTTATCTGAATCAGATACTATATACATATATCTTTCATAAATTAGCTACAACTAATAATACATTAGCTTACAGATATCGTTCTTTATGTTGATTAATTTTAAACATGGATCTTTCTATAGTCACATAATATGTCAATCCATAAGATATAATCTGGAATTCACTTATTTCAACTTGAGCTTCCATCTTCTTGTCTCAGCTTTTCATTAGTTGCTTATTCCATTCCATATATTTTTCTATGTACTATATTCAATGTAAACAAATATTATTAGAGTATACATACATACATATGTATTTAATGCAGTCTTTATAACAATTAAAGTATGTATGTACATATGTATGTATGTATGTATATTTAACATTTGGTTCATATACTTCTTGTATTCCTACATATGTATGTGCATATGTATGTACATCTGCCTAATATGGAAATCCATCTATTTTTACATACAAAACAACATTTACATATATATAATTAATAATAGCTAAATTACTTTTAAATAATTTCTTTATATTTCTCGCTCTCACTATGATTCTTCTTCCTCTTACCTAGCAGCATTTTTTTCTCCTCCTGTTGCATCTTCGAACGGTAATCGCCCAGCGCCAATTTCATGACCTGACGCTTTTTGATGAGTGGCGCCGTTTGGCTCGTCAAGACCTTCAAATTCTTGGTAGTGTCCTCAGCTGTAGGTTAGCATTGAACGATTTGTTTTCATTTATAATTTACAAATCCGGGCCGATCTTACCAACTTTCTGGCTCAGATTGCCGCTCTGGAGCGCCGTCTGCAGTTGCTGCACGCACCAACAGAGTTCCACTTCAAATTGTATATCATTGTCACCATCGAAATTGGTCTTCTTTGCTGCAGCTTGTATTGGCGGCGGTTTATTGATAGATTTTGCAGTTTTCATTCGTCGCATATTTACGTATTTCTCTGCGCTACATGTGCGGTTTATCAAAATAAATGTTCTCGCTCACACACACGCACACACATCATATGGAATTTGTGTCTGTGTGTGTGACTTTTGAGTATTTGCGCCCTGCTAGAGCCACCATTTTGGTAACATCTGTGTTGAAAACCGATTATGTTGGATAAGTAAAATATATCGATGCTAAGTTCGATATGAAAATACTGAGAAAATTAATGTTCAAAGTTGCAAGGAAAAAATATAATAATCAATAATACACATACATATATAATCAGAAATGATTACATATGATATAAACCTGAATATATATTCTTAAATTAATTTTTGTAATATTTTAATGTTAAATTCGACAAGAAAAAATGGAGCAAAATTAATATATTGCAATTCACAGTAGTAAACAAAAAAGTTGCTTAATTAAAATGGAGAAACGGCATCGATTTTCAAAGTATAAATTTGAATATATAATACATTTTCAAATTTTTATAAGCGTTTCAGAGCTATCGATAAGTATAAGCACCTCTGTCATGCAGTGAATTGTGTCGTGTGTCACCATCTTAGGGATACCGTATTTGTGCTAGAATATTGCTGCAGCCCTGCCAATGGCAGCGTGTTTCCGTTTTGCTGGTTGATCTGCCTTTTTGACAGCGTCACTCGACCAAGGTGGGTGGGTTGCTCCGCGCTTAGTATAAATAATTGTTAAAGTTAATCTTCTTTCTTGTAGTTGTTATTGTGTGACTTAAAACATTCAATATGGTTGCCGTAAAGAAACAGGTAAATAATAAAAAGCAAACCAAATTCTTAGTGTGTGTTAGATTAACGATTTCGTATTGTTTGATAATTTCAGAAAAAGGCCTTAGAGAGCACCAATGCGCGTCTGGCGCTGGTTATGAAATCCGGCAAGTACTGCCTGGGTTACAAGCAAACGCTGAAGACCCTGCGTCAGGGCAAGGCTAAACTGGTGCTCATCGCCAGCAACACGCCCGCATTGAGGTAAAAGAAACGAAATTGAAATTGTGTCCCTCGTTTTGGGTTACAAACCAAATATACTACTGAGAAGTAGATTTCCATTACGCCCGCGTATGAACAGTGATAAGTAGCTGTTGTTGTAGTTATTGGAACCATATGGAGTCTTCTTTAATGCTGACTGAGAAATATGATTCCAATCGAATAATATTTATGGAAACTATGGAGTAGTATAGCAGCAGCAGTAGACGCCTTCGCCGCCGACAATGTGTAACAAACCAGTTTCTCATGGCTCCAAATGGTTCCAGTAACAACACACGCACGCACTCACATGTAAATGTGTGAATGGGGGTAAGGAGTCATTCTCAATAGATATGAATAGTAATCCAACTTATTTATATGATGATTTTTTGTAATTCCGAATGCCTTGACGAATTTTTATTACTAGAGACTCTTTCTGATTAGCCATATTCCAGCAAACAGTTGGAATAATTATGTGCATGTACCTAAATGAGGAATTTTGTAATAATTGCAGGAAGTCGGAGATTGAATACTACGCCATGTTGGCCAAAACTGAAGTCCAGCACTACAGTGGAACCAACATTGAGCTGGGCACCGCTTGCGGTAAATACTTCCGTGTGTGCACCATGTCCATTACCGATCCTGGAGATTCGGACATCATCCGCTCATTGCCCGACAATTAAAAGAGGAGTGTTTTATTCTTTAAAGCCAACAGACATTTATTTAAATAAAACTCTTTGAAATTGTATATCCGTATGCTGTTTTTATTCGAAAATAACCACGGTGGTTGCCGGTTAAATTTTGGTAGTGCTTTGGATGGTGGTGGCGCGCATCGAGCGATGCAATTAAATCGATATTTGTGCTTCACATGAACAATTTGACACCCCAGCAAAATCTAGCGATGGTTGCTTTGACGATAACTTTTGAGCCTGCGCTGTGAGGCACACGAAAATTCAACACATCACTAGTGCTGTTTTAAATAGATTTTAAGTAACCTTACGTTCAGTCTCAAAAAGAAAATTTTTACAAAAATGACTTCTGGCTATTTGAGTACGTATCAAATACCGCTAATTACAACAACAGACAAGCAACATAGGCACGTCTGCGAGCCGGTGTCGGTTAAGATTACATCGCATCCGGCAACAAGAATGGCCCCGAATCGTTATTACAGTGCCGCAAAAATAGTGCATGGTGATCAGCCCGTTATGATGAATAATATGGTGCATCCATCGGCAATTGCATCACATCAGCGCAAACTGAAGAGGAAAATGTACGAAACCGTGGAGATCGAGGGCAATAATTTGGTGCTGTTTCAGGGCCGCGACGAAAGCTATCCGGACGAGTTGAACAAGCTGATCCATCCGTTGTCCTGTCAATTGTGCAAGGCGCAGATGACCTCGATGAAGAGCGCCAAGGACCATTACGAGTCCAAGGCCCACGACCGTCACATCAGCGCCTGGCTGGCCAAGAACTACACCGAAATGGGCCTGGAGACACCACCCATTAAACGTCTTGTCAAACAAGGCCCCACCGGGCCGAATGCATTCCACTGCAATCTGTGCGATCTTCCTCTGACCTCGATGACCCATGCCCGCCAGCACTATGCTGGCCGCAAGCACCAGCTGGTCGTTCAGAAGCGCTCGAAGCCATCGGGCGCCGGCTACTACAATTCGGATGGCAACTGGGTGCGCACTGGCACCAAGGCAGAGGTCATGGTTGATGACGGCCGCTACGGCATTGGTGAGATGTTCTTGAGAGGGACCGGTGGAGGTGATATGCATGATATTGCCAGTGATATGATGGACAGCGCCGAGGAGCAGCGGCACCACTTCAACGCTGTCGATGAGAGCCTTACCTGTAAAATCTGCAACATCAGCGTCACATCAGCATCCCAAATCAAGATGCATCTCGATGGAGCCAAACACCAAAAGAAACTGCGCGCTCAAAACCTCGAAGGGGATCCGAACGCCCAGGAGCTGCTCAAGGAACAGCAGCAGTCGATAGCAGCCGCATCTATTATTGATATAAATGGCGATCTCTCCATGTATCGTACCCCTTCCGGGTCGTATTACTGCAAGCTGTGCAACAAGGCGATGAATCATATATCCATTCTGCAGCAACACTTGCAGGGCAAGAAGCATCTCAAGACTGTGCGCCTGCAGGCCGAGGAGATGGTCTCCCCCCAATAAGCATTAAGTTCAGATTAGCTATAGGCCCATATATAAGCCTAGTAGAACAACAAGTGGGCTATGTAGAAAGAGGCGATGCAGGATAGTAATAATAACAAGAAGAGGAAGAGGGAGGAGAGGCACTTCAACAACAGCATCAACATCAACCAACATCAACATCGTTATTTAGTTTAATTGAGATTTCATTGGCTTTACAAAATTTGGTTCAGTGCATCGGCGATTGGCGGATGTCAGTTGAATGAATTTTATTTTGATAACTATATACCCTGAAGGAGCAGTCGGGAAACAGCAGGATCACCAATAGTCACCGCTTGGATTATTGCCAACCATACTCGAATGGCATCCACAATGGGTTAAAAGAAGACAGAACTGTTATTTTGTTTATAGTTTCGATACCTCTGCGAGGGGTGATTAACAAATTTTTCATGACGTCATATTGTAAATGTATATAATATGTGAATATGTGTGTATGTGTATATATACATATATGTATATGTGTGTATATGTATGTTTATATATAGATAGATATAAATGTATGTATATACAAATATATACATATCTACATATGTATATTCATATATATCAATGTACATATGTATATAAGTGGCTATATATAGATAGATATATATGTACATGCACTTGTCTATATATCATTTATATATTTTCAGAAATATGTATGTACAATATACACATATATATATGTATATGTAAATGTTATTATATTACATACATTTGTCAATATGTTCAATAGCAATCGCAATTCAAAAAGTTTGCACTGCTCTTTCATTTATATTTTCATTTCATAAGATAAATTATTTTTATTCCTAAATCTTCAGCGAAGTCTTTGTGAGCTCGGCTAAGTAGTAATAGATCGGCCATAAGAATTGATTTCCTATGATAATATAACCTAGTGTTTTTTTTTTTAGTTTAAACTAGGCTCAAATCTATCCAACTTAATTGAATTCCACTTTCTGTACGGCTTGAGCAGAGCATAAAATATACTTAATACTATTAAGCAACTGTAAATATTTATAAAAAAAAATGAAAACGTTTAAAGGCAATGAAATTTAGTCAAATGGAAAACATCTTCAAGTGTTTAAGTTGAAGTTGTTCCGCTCGAAGAATGCCTAAGAGAGACCTGTCTTCTATTTATGTAAATTCCAAGTTTTTCTTAACAGAATATGAAATGCAACTAATCGGAAAGTAAAATTTTAAAGAAAATATTTTTCAACTAAATGCGATTCATTCACAATTTATTTGATGTGTACACAATTATATTAACAATTTTATATTCAAATACAATTTTTTTTTTGTGCTCCGATCCGATCGATATATACATATACATATATCTATAGTTTTCAATAGGAGTCATATGCAAGTGGTAGACAACAAAAATGCACTTTGATCTTAAGAGCTAGGAAAGAATTGAAAGCATTCGAATGCTGGCATTATATACAATTTTTCAACAGAAATATAGGTCGCGCAGGCTTGGCTTGGCTGGGGCTTGGCGTTTGGGGTCACAACAGTTTTTCGTCTTCTTCTTCACAGCAATTCGTAATGGAATATCGCTGCTGACACAGAGATTAGTCTCTGCAGTGGAAATTATTCGTACTCGGATTGACCCGCACTACTGTGTGGGTGAAAATTCGGTGGGCGCCAGGACGCGGCAGTGCATCTCGCGAATGAGGGGCACGGTATAGGCCACACACTCGTCCCAGCCGGGTGATCGCCAGGCGGCCTCTCTGGTCTCCTTGCGATCCTGCAGCGATTTGTAACCTAATTGAAAGCATATAAATATACATGTATACATATATCTAGTATAATTATGAGATATCTGTTATAATTACACCAAATGTGATGCACATTGTAGAGTCGACCGATTTGCGAGAAGAAGCCGGCAAAGGCCTCATTGTTGTGCTTGCGGAAGTTGATGGCGCGCGCCCAGTTGTTGCCCCACTCGATCATGGTGCCAGGAGTCAGCCGATATGATCTATACGAATATATATTTATATAGAGAGAAAGATATATATAAAATATATATAATAATAAATATGAATCATTTGTTTATACTTGCCGCATCTCGTAGATATTTTTGCCCGTTCGGCTGGTGATCTGTGGCCAGTAGCTAAAGGCCAACAGGTATTGCAGGTGACGGGATCGTAAGAATTTCGAGCGCTCGTTCATTAGCTTCAGATACTCCTCATCGTGCCACAGATCCTCTTTGGCCTGGTCGATTTTCTCGAAGCCGCCGGTATATTTCCACAAATGGAGGCACTGATCCATATCGCCCACCTGGACAGTCCATGAGGCAACCAATTTACATGACAGGCTCGTCTTCTTCTCATTAATTAGGCCCACAGTGTTTTTACTATTTTCAAATAATAGCAAAAGTAAGAAGAAGCAAATTAATTAATTTCGAGCTATCTGATCTGATTCGATTTGCCACTCACTAATTATTTAGATAGTCGCCCATGGAATCGGGGCGCACATTATGCGTATGCAGCGCGTATATGATTTCCTTATCACTGAGCATGCGACTGTGCGACTCCTTCGTTGGCTCGATCTTGCGCACCAGCAGCTTGGAGAACCATGATTCAGAGTCTTTGCAGCTGGCCGTTGTTGATAAACAGCTGGCAAGACAATCGAAATGAGGATATTAGATGTCGTATGTTGGGCAACTTCAACTCACCGCATCGCGATTGGACCGGCATTGTAGCCCACCGCCGACCAGGTGTTACGTAGCTTCAACATGTTCTGCATCGACGATTGTGCCTGTGGGGGGAAATCACTTGCATGTTATTTTTGCTACTGTGTTATCATTCCAGTCGTTTTGTTTTTGTTTTTGCTTTCGTTTCGTTTTTGTTTTTGCATTGCCCCCGTGTACTTTAGTCAAGGTGAAGTCAGAGTCAGACAAACAAGTGGCACAAGGAATAATTTTTTCTGCCATCGATAGTTTCGGCAATCACCCACACACCCACACAGTCCATTTATCTCAGTTAATTGACAAGATAGGCGTTCCAGTTTCTAAATTTGATGCAAAAAGTCGAATATACATACAAACAAATTTTGTATGCAGTTCATTAAGGTACTTAATGATATATGTAAATATGTACATCTCTCTATACATGGATGTGTCTTATCACTAGGCAATGCAAAATATGTCACACACACTTTGTTTTTATATAGTCAAAAGTAGACGCACTTTTTATGCCTTGCAGGATGTGTTTGAAAAAATTAATAATAAAAAAAAAAATGTTGTGTATGTTGTAAATCAAATGTTGATGTTGTTATATATTTAAACAAAAAGAAAATAAAAATTCGTGCTATAAATAAGTATGCGATTGCTTTTAAAACATCGATCGCTAAACTGGTGCTATCGATAGATTTCTGAATGTCATCGATAGTTACGAGCTTACATTTTCCATAAAGCTCACAATATTGTGGAGCTTTATAGGCCAATATAGCAAAAGTTGCAAGAAATATCTTGTTGGTCTACTATTTGGCCATATTTGACGTTATAAATAAATAATATGTATGCCGTTATGCAGCAAAATCAGTCAAAGCAATATGCATTGGGCGCCAAATATGTTCGCCAATTTCGATTATAAAGGGGCGTGATAAATATTATTTTTTAATGCTAGCAGACATAAGCTAAATGAAATGGTACACGTTCATAAGCTGCTTGCTATGGCTTTCAGTTAAATTAATTGATTAGATAAATGTTTGGCGCAAAAAAATAAACATATATTAAAACACAGCCACAATTATTTTTCGTTAAGCATTCTAATTCGACAACATATATTAGTATAATAAGAACAATTGTATATTTTGTGTGTTCCGACACGAAGCCAATTTAAATTGCGTGAAAAGCTGTAATAAAAAGTTTGTTGTAAACTAAGTTCTCAACCTCATGAAATGCCACCGTTACACTTACCACACACCTGAAGTTTCAGCCAGTTTCAGTTACTTCATCATTTTCATCTACTCGAACTTCCAGGTTCAGCCACTTCGTCTGCTCGAACTTTGTGGCTAGAAACTTTGGCGCAACAAAATGGGGTTAAGAAAACACTTGGTCTGGATTTTATATTTGAAAGTATGTATTTTGATTTAGTTTGTAATATAGCATGATAATCATGATAATGCACGATTATCGCAATTTAACAATATTGGTGGATCATAGAGTTTCGTTAATCCAACCAAGTAGGTTACCATTAACTAAGATATTAATACATATATTTATGTATATATATATATAAATCAATTCGAATAAATAGTTTAACTATACAATTTTGAGCTAGCAGAATGAGAATTGAGAAAATATATATGCACGGTATGGAGTTGAGGAGGTAAAATCCTAACTTCTCTCATTTTACAATATTTACAAACATACTAATTGCCGAAACATACAATTAAAATGTTAAATGAACTCATTTATGTAAGTGAAAGTTGAACTTGGACTCACACACGTTAAACGAAACATAATAACAAATTTGATTTGAAATTTCACGTTTTCCTTTTTGCATACAAATTCCATTTCTTTCTTTTGATTTTTTTTTTTATTTGTAATAAAACATATACTTTTATTTTCATTATTATTATTATTATTATTATTTTTTAAATCTTGGCTAAGTTCCTGTGGGTTTACTTGAACTGATATTCGGAATTGTTTTCGATTTTCTTTTTCTTTTTTGGGCTTTCGTTTTTTGTTGTTAAGTTTTTAAACAAGTTGTCGACTTTATTTGTATTAAGAAGAATGTCAATGAAAGTCGTGTAAATTGATATAGAAAATTCAATGTATGTATTTTGATGTAATTGATGTAGATACATACATACATAGACGAATCATTGTTTTTGGACAAATCGTTCAGTTTTAGCAGTTACACAGCATGAAGCATATACGTACACATATGGAATTCATTTTGTTTTGTTTCTCAGAAATATTCTATGCTCTGGTATTTAGTCAGAAATACCATGTATTATTATATAGATAAATGATCGAATGCTAAGTACAATTCCTTTACGTCTGGCATTCATTCATTCGTTCGTCGCTTTAATACTATGAAATTGTGATGAATGGCTCTTGAGTATGTAAAAACAAATAACAATAATGAAGAGACTCCATGAGAGGGACAGACAGCTGCCGGATCTTCTTGCCAAATTATGCTGAACTGCGGCAGGCAATTCACCTGAAAACGAGAACCAAAAGCACAAGCAAATTGAGCAACGTTTTAGGAAACTTTAAAAACTTTGTTCATTTTATATTACCCGTGAGAACTTGGACCTGCACAATTACAGTGAAGAGTCGACCAAGGGAACAGGAATAATTTCCACTATCTGAGAGTTTGGCATCGGCTATGGAAATTCGACTATTGAGCCATTTGTCGGATACGCTGTAAATTAAAGAAAAACAATTTATTACAATAGGAACACACTCCAACAGGGTCGAGGAATGAAAAATTCGATATCAACTCTTTATAGCTTTCATTAAGTTTGTCGACTTAAAGATTCTGTCGCTGCAACAATATGTTGGTGAAAAATAATTGTCGGTGAATTAATTAATTTTTTAATTTAAAAATACTTTTTAAAGTTAGGAGCGGTAATTGAAAGCAATAAAACTCTGCTTGGGAGCGTTCAACTAAAAAATACCCTAAACTCAATCATTTAAATTTCTCTTATACATACGTAACAAGCACAACATACACATACATACACACACACACACGTAAGCACGCGCTCTGTTTTCTGCGCAGTTGACACCAGCAACTGCGCTTGGGTCGTGCTTATGGGCCCTATAATGAGAGTTCCATTGACGAATAACTTTTCTTCTAGCTGAACTTTCTTAATCAAATTTGGAGCATGATAATGACATCTAGATGCCAAAGCAAAAGCCTCTAGTATTTGAAATAGGCTCTTTGCGAATTTTTTAGCAGAATGACTGAGTATACATACATATGTATATCCTAGATAAAAAATATGCTTATTTTGTGTATACATTACAGAAACTCCCACAATGAATTAGAAGCTGCCGTCTTAGTGGTATTCAAGTTGAGCTTAAAAAAAGAAAAACCTATTATCGATTTTTATCGATAATTATGACTTTCGGCAAAAATGATGGCCTGCATGCTCATAATATCATTATACCCCGAATTCTCATTTTCAAAGAGCTCAAATTTTCCTTTGAAAGTCCTTAAAAGTTGAAGTAGAACCTACCTAGAACGCCTATTGGTCAGTGCTTGCAGCGGTTCGTCGTCCTTGGCCCAGGTAATGAAATGGGTAAAATATTTCTCCAGCTCCTGGCTGGAGTATGTATTGTGAGTATGATTCGCATCGCCGATTAGATTCATTTCGCTAGCCGTATCATTCAGTAGCTTGCCAGCCGAGCTGCCCAGCTCCGTTGACTTGAGTATGGCCAGACGTTCCTTTTGAAAGAAGTTGCGGGAGATCTGGCACTGGAGATCGACGGTGCTGCCGGACTTGTAGTATCTGTCGCCCACATCCCGTTCGTGTTCGTCAATGATCCTCAGCGGCGGCTCTGCAGCGAAAGACCAAAAACAATCATCAACAACCATCCAAAGGTGGGGCTTTAGAGTCATCTATCGGCTTACCCAGAATGGTGAGATTTGTGGTAAAGACGCGCGGCGGATGTGTTGAAACCTGGCACATATATATGCCAGCGTCTTCCCTCTGGGTTGGATTGATCATCAGACGCCAGTTGTTCGGATATTGGAATTTGACTCGTATACGTGGATCACCGCTATATGTGACATTGCCAACGGTGAGCAGTGAGACCTTCTCAGTGGTGCGCCTAACCCACATTACCTGCAAATACAACAGCATTTACTTGTGATATATTTATGTGATAAATTTATGTATAACTTTTACTACAAAGTATAAAAGGAGGAAGCATGGAGTATCGATCTAGCTGTAGGAAATGAAGATTCTGGCTCTAGGGCTATCTTTACAGACATAGAAATAAGCCCCTAGGGGTACGGATGTATATTTAAAATCTTCCGCTATAAAAACAATATTGCTTATTTTGCTCACATTTTGCCACGCCCTCAATGGACAGTTTGTAATACTTTTTTTCAGTGAATACATAAAATATATAAGAGTACCAAATTTTTTTAGTTAAGCTCAGAGTTCGATTAGAAATCCTTGTGTAGAATGAAGAGATATACAACCATTTTTCGGATATATCTGATTATATATAACTGGATATATCTGGTTATATATAACGACTCTACTTATAGCGTGCAATCGGTTATTGCGACGAAAATTCGGACCTTAGATAAACTTAAATATATAAGTTTGGTTTTCCCATATATCTGTCAATATTTCAAATGGTATTTGTAGGGTTACCATATATGCCTGAATTTTTTTATAGAAGCAATAGAAAGCCGGGACAAGTTGGTGTCAGGTCGGGATACTGGGATATTACCCTCAAAAGCGGGTCATGCTCCGGAATTTCAGGACGGATAGCAGTCCTAGTTATATGTATGCTATATCTAAAGTTACAGGTATTTACTGGGTAGGTATTTAAACAAACTTATAGACGATCTCATTTTGTGATTTATTACCAGATAATTTATATAGATTCAATATCGAAGTGTTACATATTTTGCTCCTATCGTCATTCGATATATGTATAGGTTTATCGCCATTCGATATACATATTCAATATGCTTACCGTCTTATCCTTCAGCATGCCGACGCGGCAATTGAGCACGGCTTCCGTGAAGAGATGCACGGCGGCGACGAGCGTCTTGCCGGGATCGACTAGATTCGACGGCTCCTCGAAGAAGGGTCCATAGTGGTTCTCATGATGGTACTTGCTGCGAAATGTGCGCGAACGTTCCGCATCTGTGAAGCCACCGCCACCCCCACCGCCGGAGGCTGTCCAGTGGTTGCGGGAACGCGCCGCATCGATGGGCTGCTTCACGGTGGCGCTGCGTGCGCTCTTGGTGGTCGCCGCTGAAGCAGCCAAGGGATCTTGAGTCCGGGCCGTGCTGCTATTGCCACTCAGGCCAGGCAGTCGAGCCGTGCTGAGGGCCAAGAGTCCGGCCTGGCTGTGAGCTGTTGTTCGCGCTCTTGTGGTACGAGTTGCTGTTGTTGTTGCTGTTGCTGTTGCTGTTGCTGCTGCTATTGCCGCTGGCTGCGTCTCGCCGGGCATCGAGGAGACGTCAAGGAGCTGCGGCGCTGCTGTGTCAGCGGCAATGAGGGAAAGCGCTCTGCTCGTAATACTCTCATCAAAATAGAAATTATTCTCCGAGCTGCTGTCGTTCGGTTTGCCAACAGCAGCAGTTGATATCGA